TTCATGACAGAGTCCCGCTCCATCACTCAGGCTGGAGTGCAGTGGGGTGATGTTGGCTTACTGCAACCTCCTCCTTACAGGTTCAAGCGATTCTCCTGCCTCAGCCATCCTAGTAGCCGGGATTACAGGCGTGGACCACCACACCCAACTAGTTTTGTATTTTTAATAGAGACAGGGTTTTGCCATGTTGGCCAGGCTGGTCGAAACTCCTGACCTCAGGTGATCCACCAGCCTCAGCCTCCCAAAGTGCTGGGATTAAAGTTTAAAGGTGTGAGCCACCCAGCCAAGATTTTTTTTTTTTTTAAGATAGAGTCTCACTCTGTTGCTAGGCTGGAGTACAATGGCACAATCTTGGCTCACCTCAACCTCTGACTCCCTAGTTCAAGTGAGTCTCCTGCCTCAGCCTCTTGAGTAGCTGGAATTACAGGCACACGCCACCATGCCCAGCTAATTTTTGTATTTTTAGTAGATATGGGGTTTCACTATGTTGGTCAGGATGGTCTTGATCTCCTGACCTTGTGATCCACCTGCCTCAGCCATCCAAAGTGCTGGGATTACAGGCATGAGCCACTGCGCCCAGCCAAGATTTTTTTTTAAGATTAGGAAACAAAACCAAGTCAGAAGGAGCCCAATTAGAACTGTAAGGTGGATGCCTCATGATTTCCCATTAACACGCTTGAAAACTTGCCCTTGTTTGATGAGAGGAGTGAGCAGGAGCACTGTGATGGAGAAGGGCTCTCTGTTGAAGCTTTCTCTCAGGCATTTTTCTGCTAAAGGTTTGGCTAACTTTCTCAGAACACCCTCACAACAGGCAGATGCTATCATTCTTTGGCCCTCCAGAAAGTCAGCAAGAAAAATTCCTTGTGCATCTCAAAAAACTGTTGCCACAAACTTTGCTCTTAACAAGTCCACTTTGGCTGTGACTGGACCACTTTCACCTCTTGGTAGCCATTGCTTTGATTGTGTTTTGTCTTCAGGATTGTATTGGGAAAGCTATGTTTCATCTTTTTTTTTTTTTTTTTTTTTTGCACAGCACACTAATTGTGTTGTCAC